GAAAGACTGATGTAGAGTTTGGAGCTCAGAGGAAAAGGAAGAAGGCAATTAGGATTCCTTGCGTAACTGGGATATTTAGAGAGAGAAATTGAGCATACCTATCTTAGAGAGAGAAAAAACGATGAAGGGCAAGAAAGGAGGAATGAGAAAGTGAAGCAATACAAGACCTTCGTGGAAAATAACAGGAGATTAGGACAGGAAGCGAACGCATTCGTAAACGGAGCGTTGGACGGAGAACAACAAAGGATGAAAGGGAAAGGATGGAGGGATAAGGATGCAGAGCCAGATAGAGTGAAAGACAAAGTGGAACGAGGAAATGTCACAGTATCAGAGACAGATTTACAGAGACAGAACAGAGAGAGGAAACAGTTTGCAGCAGTTAATAGTTATTCCTCACTGTTATCCCAAAGTGTGCAAAGGCCAGCAGGACAGATTAGGAAAGAGGGAAAAACAGCTGTCAAACCAGCAAACCAACATGTCAAACATGTTATATTCATATTTCATAGTTCACCACAGCGGCAATTAGTCCACCATTTCCTTCCACTGAGCTCTTGGGAGTCTTAGTCACCTGATCTGTCATTTGTTTAACATTCCTTTTCAAAAGTTATTTCTGTGTTATTTCTTAGTCACTGTGGTTTAGCCAACTTTGAAGATGTGCTGTAAGTGAATCAGACCCCCACACAAGAAGCATATTTTTGTTTAAAGTCAACCAGTGCTCGTCCCAAGGAAGCCAGACTGTAGGGTTCATCGGTTTCAGTGGTCTGGGGTGGGGAGCTGTCTGTGTCTTTGTGTGTCTGTTGTATGGTACATTCATTCCCTGAACACCTGCTGTTTGCATTCTTGTCTTATCCCGTTGTCGCAAACACACACACACACATGCGCGCCTTACCTCTGCCTGTAATGGAAACAAACAGCGGTTAGAGCTTTTGTGCAAAAGCCTCTCGTTAGTTGTCTGACTGCCAGCTGGTCAGTTAAATTTAAAGCCAACTTAATCTTTACTGCTGGGTGGGTCGGACACCCACACTTCAGCAGACCAGGTGCATCAAAATGGCCGCCTCATGAAGTCATCCAGATCCTTTCAAATGTTTTTAGGTTTCATGCAAAGCGCTCTACAGAATAATTATATGGTTTCGTACTATAACAGCATCCACTGTATTCTATCTCCTTCAAACTACCTTTTCTTGAATTTCTCCATATTCTTTGAGTGAAACAAAGGCTTTGCAGTCTATGATTTTTTTGTGTATCTATATCTCCAGGTACACCACTTTCAGAGCTTCAGAGATAGCGCATGTAGATTGACTTAGTCTTAATAAGACTGCGTTCCTTGCCTTTTTTTTAAGAAGCAGTCACAAAACAAATGAAGAGGACATTGTTATTGCTCAACCATCAACTAGAGCCTCTTGTTTTTGATGAAGTGAATACAATCTTTAGTAAATCCAGTTCTGCATGTTAATGTTTTATAGCATTTCTCCAATGTGTTTAGATAGCTGGCTCCGGTAAACAATCTCTGAAATATATCTTCTCCAAACAAACATCTTTTGGAAAGTGCCAAAACTAAAACGTGGAGGCTTCACTGCTTGGCGTTCAATTGTGTGTAAACGTGCCAAAGTGGATCAGTTTGTCACGGTCAGCCATGGCTTTTGTGTACATTTTGGCTTCCAGCCGTTGGAAGGCTTGGAGGTAGAAAGTTTGAAATTTCAACTGGAAAAATTCCCACCTCCGAGTTGTCTGGAACGCAGCATAAGGCTCATAATGGATCATTGCAATATTTCAGGCAGAGCATTGAGGTCGTGCTTACATTACTGTTGATTAGCGTCATGTGTTTGATTCATTAGTGACATTTATTCAAGCGTGCAAAAATCAGCCATTATAATGTGACACATTTCACTACTGACTCGCTGATACAGTCTTTTCTCTTTTTGTTATTTATTTGTTATTGATCCAAATCCTTTTACATCAGCACAACATTAAAATAAAATAAAGTGTTTTATTGGAAAAAAAAAATTCAATAAACATTAAGCTAAACGTGGGTAAAAACTCTAATTGATACTTTTAATTGGTTTGCACTTAAAAATTAAAAAGACATGCCATTCAGTCCTACACTTGATATTGGCCTAACACAATATATATAGGTCTGTTAACTCTGTAGTGTACCGTGTAAGCATTGGCAACATGTTAGTACGTAGGATTACAAATATTTAGTATTTCTATAAGTTGTCTGACAGGGTAAATCATTAATGATTGTTTATTTGATTATTTGCATTTACAGGCTGTACACCTCATAAAGGTTAATAGACGTCATACCTTTCACCTTGTTATTTACTAAATATATCACTATGAATTAGTGTTATTTTTATTTGACAGTGTTATCATTTAATTTCACAACACTTCTCCTGGCATAGTCCTTGAATTTCTCAGCTGTCGGGCGGTGAGGTTAGATAGAGTCTTGCCATCTCGCTCCACCTGGCTCCGGCTCCTTACTGTTTGTTTGTGTCAAGAGCGGTTTCCCTGGTGAGAGCTGAAGTTTCCACTGTGAACAAGAGGAAGATGGAGATAAGGACTGAGAGATTAGGGGTGAAAAAAAACACAAGCGTAGGAAAATGTAGCCAACCTTAAAACGAGCGAAAGATTTAGATAAAAGAAGAGAGATTAGGTGGATGGAGAAAAGCGGAGGAAGGCGAAGAAAAAGTGTTTAGTCAACTGTGAAACAGCGAGAGATAAGACGTGAGAGATTGAGAGGGGGAGACACTGTTAAACAGGGAGATTAGAGGAAAAGAAAAAGGGGAGAGGAAGGCTGGGAACATGGGGGTAAAGATGGCTGTGAACTACTGACAGATTGACATTAAGAGCAGTGGTTGGGGAAAAGAGAGATGTAAGATAGATGAAGGGAAGATGAAAAAATTGAAGGGAGAGAGACATTTGAGAGTAGGGTAAGACAGGGACGATGAGATTGATAGCGGTGAAGAGATGTGGAAAAAAAGATTTTGGATTGGATGCTCAAAAACATGAGTGAGGGGTTACTTGAAGTTACAAATCAACAAAGACATGTCCTTCATGATGGAAGCAGCTCTTTCCTCAAGTTGAAAATCATAAATCGATGCCATATTGAATTTTTCATCACATCCAAGAAGCCTTATCAAATGACCTCGCTTTCCAGGAACTGGCAATCACACGCAAACTGAAATCCTGTGACAAGAAACGATGCCTTGCAAATGGCTCGCTGTCATAAACGTATCTGCTTTCTTTAATAAACTGGCGAGATGGATGCAGCTCTAAATCACAATGAATTCCTCTTGTTTTTTGGTGTTTTCATGTTGTGGCTTCTTCCAAATGCTTGGAACACTTGATGATTTGGGATTATCATAACAATGAATGCAACACCATAATATGAGCATCATCATGTTTTTGTTATGTCACTTCAAAATTAAACCGTTTTTTGACAAACTGCAGAACTACTTTTAGTTCTTTGAACATTTTGGAATGCAAACACAACACTGCCTTTTATTAATATTATTAAGTCAATATGGCAACCATCTTTAAAAAAACAAAACACAGACACGGGTCGACATTAGCATTCCTTTGTCCCCCTGACAAAAAATAAGTCCAATCTTCAAACTCCTCGAAGCTCTGTTTTGGTCTCCACCAACTCGTTAATGGACAAGTCTGTATTGAAAACTAAAATCTTCTCTTTCTCATATCAAGAATCCTCAAATAGAAAACTTACATGACTTGGCACTTTTTTTAGTTTTTGCTCATGATCTATATTGCTGTCTGTCAGGACCAGGCGGGTGCCTTTGATCATAAGTCTTTCAATGTGACGTCTCATTGCATCAGATGAGATACTGAAACTATTTGTTATCCTGGAGGCCTTTGAAAGACCCCTGGTGGACTCCTGGTATAGGAAGTGCTGCCCCAGTCCCCACCAAGCCCCCCCCCCCTCTCAGGCCGGGGTATGGCTCTTATTAGTGATCCTAGGCATGGCAGCCCGGAGAAGCCTTTTGAAACCTAATATGGTCTTAAATCAGATTTATAAATGTTTAGGTGTGTTATGAAAAACACACACGCAGTTCGCCTTTGCAAAACCAGACTCTGTTTATGTGTATGTGTGTGTGTGTGTGTGTGTGTGTGTGTGTGTGTGTCTGTGTGTGAGGGCAAGTGGAAGCTTACAATACAAGGGAAAGAGAGCAGTGTGTGCAAAAAAGGAGACAAAACGGTGTGTGTTGTTTGTCTATACGCTCTTGTGTGTGTGTTTTCTTTCCTTGCCCTAATTCCTCCAGTACGACAGCGTTTCAATAAACAGCATACCCGTGTAAAGGGAACCAGTCTATACACACACACACACACACACACACACACACACACACACACACACACACACACACACACACACACACACACACACACACACACACGCAGTCAGTTCATATTGCAGTGTGTATACATTGTGCACCCGTAGTTAAAACAGATTGAATGACATCCAGGAAACACGATAAGCTTTTAAACTCTGATGATGGAAAGAGAAAATAATTTCGTCCTTTTTTTTTTTTTGCTGGAAAATGTCTCATAAGTCAGAGTAGCAGGAGCGCTGTGTGTGTGGGTGTGTGTGGGTGAGGGTGTGTCTGCGTAGATGTGCGAGTGTGTGTGCATCATTTTCCCAGTGCCTGAACGGTAGGAGTGTTTGTGTGTTTTGGTTTATGCTTGTTTGTGTTTGTATGTTTGTGTGTGTGTCTCTGTTTGTGTGTGGGCTAATAAGCTGCCGGGCATTCTCACGCTCCGTCCTACAGCCAAATTCAATAATTTCAATAAGCGAGAACACACACAGAGACACACAACGCAAATCCTCATTGGTGTTCATTTCTTTTTCTCTTTTTTCCTATAATAAATCAACGTCCTTTCAAGATACACAGTGTGATATAAAGTTAATACTGTTAATTACTGTAAACTAAATTGTATTAGCAACTGGACCAATCAGATTTCTAACCTTTTGTTTCTCTCTGTAGGGATTTGAACAGAAACAACATCACCAGAGTCACTAAAGTGGACTTCTCCGGCCTCAAGAACCTCAGGATTCTGTAAGTTTCTTTCTTTCTCTGTTTATGTCAACATTTTGTGGTGATGAACCAGTCAAAGCTGCCAAGGTTGACTCAGGGTTTGTTAAGCTATGCTTTTGAATTACATGGAATATTTTAGTCTCTAAAAGTCTTTTCTCCTGTCATGTTTATTTCTTACTTGGTTTCTGTCCAAGGATAATGTGTCTCATTCAAACAACGTCTTATTCGTATCGTTAGCCATGCAAGTTTTTTAACAAGAAACATTGGGAATATGACACATTTTCTGAAGTTAATCAGACGTGCCATTTGATCAAACATCTCTTTGTATGGTGTGTTCTTGCATTAGACCCAGTAACTTGTATCTGTGTAGCTCAGGAAGGAGCAGACAGGAAGTACCTCACAAAACAATTGCATGTCGGCTATTGCATGATTAAAAGATGTTTGTAATCTTTGATCACTGATAAAATAACTGAACTTAAGGAACATGCCCTGTATGAATATGTGATAGCTTCTAAAAGCTTAAACAGATATATTTGTCTTAAGGAAATACATAACCTCAAGCAATATTAACTCTTTTATATCATAGTGTAACATCGTCATATTGCCATTCAAAAATCTAGGTCCACGTGGATGTTTGGCCACTTTTCATCCTATTTCCTACAGCCTAACAATGTAGTGATCTTTCCCCTGCCTCAGCCTAATAGCTTTAATTGTGTTAACATAATCATATGTCAACCACACACTTGGCAGATCAGAAAACATTCCTATGGGAGCCTATTAAATGATCTGTTTAATCATTCAGGTATGAGGCCTTCATGTTGAATCCACCAGGAACCAGCAGCTCCATTAAGACCTCTTTCTTTTCCCCTCATTGTGACTCTGTATTTGTGTCTTTACAAGGAATCCCATTAACAAAATACTGCCATGCTGGAACAATTAGGCAAATGTTATATTTACCTAATAGGCCTGTATATGGCTATAGGGGAAACACGTCTCTATAAAATAAAGTTTCCCAACCTAATGAGGGATTTCAGAGCAGGAGAGAATGCAATTGTCTAATCCAAGGGCTTGAATTCCGTAATTACTGAATCTTTACAAGGTTAAATAATAGAGTAATCTTGAGCTGACATGCCAGGAACAAGCAGCAAGACTCCCATTTGTTCAACAAGAAACAAGATGTCAAACTGGTGCACATATTATGGTGTGCAGTGATTAAACTGCTGACAAAATGACAACATTTCTGGAGAGTTTTCAGCAAGAAACTGTGAGCCATTCTTCATTAGAAACAGTAAAAGATAATGTAAGTCAGAATTTGCTGTATTCAATGTCTATGAGCAATAGTTAAACAATGCTGTTAGATTTTGCAATACTAGGAAATCCAGATAAATGCCTTTAGAAATGTAAAATAGGAAACACACGTTTGAGATTCTTTTAAGAATGTCTTAAACAAGATAACCACACACAACTCCCTACTGTGTGTACTATACATTGAAAGGTGTCTAGTTCACTGTACAGTTATTGTTTCTTCTGTATATAGCCAAAAAGAGAGCCCCTCTTGAAGCAAGATGCATGTCCAGCCTGAACTAACAAGATGTGTCATAACTGGTGAATCCCACCACTTTGATATACTATCTGTTCAGAAATTGTTTTATTTTTGGGGCCTCAAAAGAGGGACTGAGCCGGACTGTCCGCTGGTCTGTTTCAATTACTTCTTAAGTACATTTACTGAGTAAACATTAAACACAGTTCACAAAGACATTTTTTAATCATAAAGTATGAATCGTCCGCTTTGGATCGTCTTCTTTGATCCTATGGGGGGAAAAAATCCAATAACATGCTAAGGTCATTGCTGATGTTACCCGTGCTTGTCTAGCTCGTCATATCTAAACGGCCGCAGTCAGCAGAGTGTGACTCCTCGTCTGCTCTCAGCTGTCCTAATTGACGTTAAGGGCTCTCTTGCTCTTCTGCTTCAAGTGGCTTACATGTGTGTGTGTGTGTGTGTGTGTGTGTGTGTGTGTGTGTGTGTGTGTGTGTGTGTGTGTGTTAGGCCTATAATAACTATAATCACCGTTGGCTGCATACAGCTTCCCTCCTCACTCCGTTTTAACCAGACCGGTAGATAAAAATAAACTCCCAGCACAAACTGCGCAGAGAAGACAAAATACGTTTCTGCATGTGTGTGTGTTCATTTGTTTAAATATAACCAAACAAGTAAGGATCAAGATGGAGTTTTTGGAAAATGTACTTCGCTTCAGGTTTTATCTGTGTGTGTTAGAGCAATATAGAAAAAGACAGAGACCTTTTATTTATGTGTTTATCCTGTGCACTTAAGACAGGGTGAGAGGGACCAAGGCAAATAGGCGTGTGTGTTTGTGTTTGTGTGTGTGTGTGTGTGTGTGTGTGTGTGTGTGTGTGTGTGTGTGTGTGTGTGTGTGAGTCTGTGTGTTTGTGTGCATGTGAGAGAGAGAGAGTGTGTGTTTGCGTGTGGTGTGCCAGCAGCTTGTTTCATGTGGTTGGTGATAAACTGCTGTGACATTTCCCCACTCTAAATCTCTTAAAGAAATGGGGAGGAGAAGGCTTGGGAAATGGAAGAAAGTCACACACACACACACACACACACACACACACACACACACACACACACACACACACACACACACACACACACACACACACACACACACACACACCACACACACACACCATGCCTAGTTCAGGGATCACTAAATACATCCCATGAGAAAATAAGTTTGCATGTACTTAAAGGCAACATTCTTCCCAGGGCACAGTACTGCGAAAAAATCATATTCATCGATGCCTGTGCTTACATCCTGGCAGTATGTTCAATTCTTCAACCATATCACATAAATGATGACTTCTATTATACCTCACCCAAACTACCGGATATCAGGTGTGTTTTTTAAGGTGCTAAGTGATCTAGTACAACAATTACTGATTGAAACACCCTGATCAAGTTCCCTACCTTTATCTGATTAAAATTCAACGATATATTGTATAATGTATTTAAAAGCAGATAATCTAATCCAGCAGTTTGAATATTCTTGAATCCGAGGGGTCAGACTGTCGTGCGATAATCAGAAACACCAGTTGTCTCGGCATTCGTACTGCATGCGCAACACTTAGCGTAATATCTTTGGCAGCCATAAATCATGAGATGTTTTCCAGACTGTGGCGAAATTGAGTAATTTTAAACAAATTTCTTGAGGTGAAAACTTGTACTTGATATTGAACATTCGGCCGGGGAGAGCTAATGTGGCTACACCCGTTAGTTGCTCTGAGTTTACCTTCAGGAAGCGTGACATCACTCTGCTTTGTGTAATGATTGCTAAAACTGAATAAAATGTGATTAGAAACACCCGGTCCCACACATATGAAATCAATACATGTTTTCTTCATCCATCGGCCTGTTGATGACTCATCTCTGATACAGACCAATTCAAAAACGATACCTCATCTGAACAATATGCCAGCATCGACTCGCCGCACCATGTGTTTGGCTTTAGATCCCCCGGCTTTCTAAACTTTATTCAATAAATCAGCATGCGGTTGATCACTCATTTGGACAAATAAACTCAGATAGTTACTCAAAGTTATGTCTTGATTTAGCTTTCTCCGGAGTTCACGAGATATGCCTTTCTATCAGGATAGAGATATGCAGCTAGACTAGAATAAGCAAGCCGGGTTTAAGCTGCCTGGAGTTTAACTTATGAGTGATTGACTGCAGTCAGGACTCTGTGTTTACATGTGTGTATATGTGTGTGTGAGTCTCTACCTATGTTTACTCTTTAAATGTTTACACACATATCTGAAATTGCTTATTAGTGGTGGGTGTGTATGGGTATATATCTTATTTACTATATGTATTTGCACCTGTAATTTTCAGTTTGCCTTAGTTATCTTAGAGTTAAGAATTATCCTTCTAACTTCCACTACTTTGCTTTAGCATAGTTTGCATCTGTGTGTCTGTGAATACACTTGTTTAAATGTTTGTTTTTTTCGGTTCTTTTTTACCAATTATCCACCAATACATGGTCATTTTTTTATAATATAAGATTGGTTTGAATTCATTTTTAAACAAACTGATGAGAGAAATATGCAAACTCTAAACTGGGAGATTGAAAAAGTGCAGATATTTACTAGTATGCATGCTGCTATACATATGTGCATATCAAAGTTATTTTGAAGTATGCATGTCATTGTTGAGAGTCTGTTATCTTCCAGCCAAGTGCATGCTTCAGTCCAACAGCTTGTCTGTGTGTGTTTGTGTTTCTAAAAAGGCGCCAATATGACAGACCACAAATTAATGGCTGCAATACAGATACATGTCTAAACATTTTCTCTAAAGGAATATTTTAAGGATGGTCATGCCAAAACATTTCAAAGTCCACACGACAGGCCAGACATCATGTCTTTTGATACAGCTTCTTCAATCCTTGGTCTTTTTTTTAAATCTCTCTCACTCACTCAATCCATCTGTTCTTTCCTGGTCCCTAAGTATCTGTCTCCTCTCTCTCCACCTCCTCCTTTCTCTTCTATCCCTTTACTTCCCTCTGCTTCTCATATCATCCACTTATTCCCTCGATCACCCCCCGTCCCCTCCTCTCTCTTAGGAGATGTCACTCTTAACATCCTCAGACAGAAAATAATATAAACATGCATATCTGCGGAGATGTTCTGTCTCCTTTACACTGTCCCATCTGGAAAACCTTAGATCATGACAACACACAGAGAGCAGGAGAGAAAAAGAGCAATATGCTTTACAGTGGGAGCAGCGGACCAGAAATGGAGAAGATATTCACCGAGGGGTGGAAGAGGGATGGGTTGATAATTGTTTGTTTTGGCTCACTGCATTGTGACATTAGTGAGATGCTTCATGTCTTAAACTTTTCAAACTGTTGCTTGATGCCAGATTCATTTGTTCACTGCACTGATTTCTTGTTTATACAACCATATTTTTAAAAGGCCAAATGTCTTTCTCAATGTTTGAAATCTCTCTATCTCCCTCTGGCAAGCAGCTGATGTTTGCACACTCCAGAAAATGAGATTTATCTGGTGTTTCTTCCTTTGGTTTGAACCTCCAGGTCAGCCTGGAGAGCTGGATGGGGATAGGTGTTCCCATCTTTATCATTGTCTTGCAGAGAAATATACACTCAATATTTTTTTAAGGAATACCTCCTGCGGCTATTATAAGTTTTTTGACACACTGTTAACGCTCTTCTCTGGACTGTCATCCTTTACCGAGTCTCATTGTAAATGGATTTGTTTGAATTTGATAAGAAATGTCAGATTTGTTTTTTCTTTTGTCTTACGTGTCTTCATGTCTATTTCTCTAGGCATCTGGAGGACAACCAAATCAGTGTCGTGGAAAGAGGAGCCTTCCAAGACCTCAGACTGCTCGAAAGACTGTAAGTACACCAGCTTACTGCCTGTTGTTTGTGTGTGTGTGTGTGTGTGTGTGTGTGTGTGTGTGTGTGTGTGTGTGTGTGTGTGTGTGTGTGTGTGTGTGTGTGTGTGTGTGTCACCAAACATACACACACATTTCACTTGCTGGTGACCGCTCTGTAAAGCACACATGCTCACACACACACACACACACACACACACACACACACACACACACACACACACACGCATGCACGCACGCGCGCACGCACACACACACACAGTGACACAAAGAGTGAACCTGGAAGATACCCAAATGCATTCACTTCACACACAACCTTGGAATCTCTCAGTGATATTGGCTTGGACAATGTGTGTGTGTCCTCAGCTCACACAAAGGCTCTAGTCAACAGAATCAAGGTGTCAGTGCGCAACACAACACTTCCCACACACACACACCTGCATGTTTATGACTCTGTGCTGGAGGGATGACAGACAGAAAGCTTTGCAGGAGGATGTGCTTCTCTCTTTCTGCTTACAGAGCGGATATGAGGCTGTGGCCATCAATACAATTTGAGATTAACACTCCATATTGTTAGACACTATCCCCCTAAACAAATCTACATTATTTTTAAAGCTTTTCTTAAAGCTGCCTTTTAGATGATGTTCCATACATTGGAGCTGCGATATTGGTGGTCTTTAACTGATGAGGACAGCATTTCTAAACTTAGGACTTGGCTGTCTTAACAGTGTTGAATTCACATTGCTGGTTTTAGACAGGAGCTGCGACTTTCCTCACTGATATGATAATGTCTGTTTCTTATGCTATTTCATTTGCTACTCTCCCCAAAACTGCAAAAGGTGATTAGCTTTGACCACCTGGGAATATACAGATTTCAATATTTTATCTGCTATTAAGAAGATAATTCCGATTTTTTAAAAGAAAGGCACAGAGGGAGATGTGTTCACGTCCATGTGACCAAGACATACGGAGGGACACAAACACTTAATTGAGTACAGGTGATAGCAAACGTGGATTGGCAGCAACATGTGTATCTTGTCTCTAAATGGAGTTCACACATCTGATACTAAAAGTGAGAGGTGATGGGCGGCTTTAATGTTAAAAGGCTCTTTAATGCGGTGTGTCAGGAAGGGTCAGAGGTGAGGGGTCATTGGAGAGAAGAGGTGAGGAGGCAACATAGCTGTTAGTCCAAACTCACACATGACATTATGTTTCATTTATCTAAGACATTGTGTAGTTTCCATATATTAACAACTGAATACATATTAAACGCATCACGTGGTGTGTTAAGTCATTTATTCACCTTTAGTCTTTTTCATTGGTGGAAGACATTAAAGAGAATAGCTCTGCTGTGATTTATATTTTTCACTTAAAATGCTTTTTTAAAAATGCTTAGTTGACAGGGTCTCTGATGTTGGGGCTGTCAGGGTTAGAGTTCAGAGGTGAGAGGTGGCAGTGCTGAGTCTGTGAGATTTATGGCGTCACAATGTGAAAAACATGGATCTTAGTTGGTCATCTCCTTTGGTTTAGACATGCATGGGTGTCAACACATGAAATATAAAGTAATCGATATGATCATTTTCATCACATGTGGTCATTTAAAGAGACATAAGAAGACTTCGACAGAGCACATTTTTTTGTCTTATGTTAGATTTTTAATGATGAACATTTTGTAAAAATAAGGGGATATTTTAAAGATTTGAGTTCTCACTTTTTCTTCCTTACAGACATGTATAATACGGTTGAATTTTGAGGTCTTATAGGTCTATTGAGATGAGCTGTCTTAAGCCTCCAAACCATTTCTGCTCAACTTTACGGTGATTCTGACTAATACGTCTGATTTTCCAAATTTAACAAATATAGTGCTTATTGACTTGTGGTCTGGACTATTTCAAATGTTCCAAGCAGAAGAAACTCGTCATTTTTATTTGAAAACTCACAAAGGAGTCTTCTATTAGAAACCATAACTATTTTATAAAACATCTTAAAATGACTCATAAATGTAACAGAAGCCGATCGCTTTCGTACACTCCGTTATTTCCTAGGAGCAAGGGTCAATTATTTCAAATGGTGGATATCTGTTTTTTGGACTGCGGCTCTCTTTCCGTTGGTGCACACAGAAGTGAAAGTCAGGGACTCATTATCGTTATCACAGGGTTGAAAAGGTTGGTGTCTGTGTCTTCTCCAGCACAGATTCTACTTTATGACCCCGTGACCCCCCCCCACCCTCCTTTTCCCATTCACGCCTCGTTTCTCAGCCAAAAGCTTTAGTAGCTTGATAACACTTTCACTCCCTGTCCTCTCGCTGTCCTCATCTATCTCTTCTCCAGCCAACCCCACCCTCGTCTGCACCCACACACACACCAGCAGACACATCATTCAACCTTAAACACTCTATCTCTCACATTACCCGGACACACATGTCTTCCTGTTGGTCAACACCGTTCTGTCACTCTCTCCATCTTCCTCTCATTCCCCTGCAAATAATTGCCATGTGTTCATTTCATGCTCAGTTCAACGCGATCAATCGAGGAATGGTATTTTCAATTTAAATTTAGGAAGCAATAGGATGTTTTCATTTCATATTAGTTTGGATACAGTCCCATTTTATAGGAGAAATGCCCCCAAAAGTTATATTAAACGTTTGAAATTTGACCAAGATGAAGAAACCACAGAGTTAGTGATGCTGAACAGAGACTATTAAATTGCAGAACACTGCATTCAGATGTTCTCAAATAAGAGTTGTCTTGAACTTGTTTTTGTGATAATATAGTTACTGATCTGCACACTAATGAAAGCCAGGCTATGTGGCTTTTATTTTTTGTTGAATAAATAAGTGCAGAGGGATAACAACTCATGCTTTTTTTCTGGTATTCTTGTATGTCTTGAGGCTGCACAAAACTAGCTGATGTACACCATTGACCTTCTATAACCTTCCTCTTGATTGGCCTAGCCCCCAATTTAAGCATTGAAATTGTCTTTAATCCATGCTTGATGAACATCTGCCAACATCCCACATTTTGTATCACTTTTTCACATATCAGCTTTGCAAGTCTCTTTGGAGAGCTTACAGCACGATAACCTGTAACTGACACACAGGCTAAACACAGCGTGATAGCCTGTAGGTCACGATCACAGGAAACTAGGCAGACATTCCCATGAGTTTGACCTCTGAACCATGAACCCGCTGACCTTCAAGGTGATCCAGTTGCCTGGTTAGTGATAGTTCAGTCAACACAAAGCATGAGTCTGAGTGATTTATGGGTTGTTTATCCTTTTGAGGTTTGTATTTGAGATTTATAAAGTGAAACCATTTTAATTGAACTATATTTCCTTTATTTTTCCCTCTAGTCGCATCAACAGAAACAAACTCCTGTTCCTCCCAGAGCTTCTCTTCCAGTCCAACCCCAAACTCGGACGACTGTGAGTACACCTTTCTCGTTTTTCCATCTCTCCATCCCAATCTCCCACCTTTTTCTCTGGCTCTCTCCCCCTGTCACTCTCTCCCAGCCCTTTTCTGTCTTTGTTTGATGTGTTACATGATCCATTTGAAAACAAGGCCACAGTGCAATGTCAGAACTTTGATCCGGGTGGAGGGTTCAAGTCCCTCTCCAGGTGACACAGTGCCGCTCTGTGCCCCTGTGGAGAGGTGAAAAGGAGTGTGTGTGTGTATGTGTGTGTGCGCACAATTTAAAGAGGTGAAAGTGGGCCTGGAGCGAATGTTTTGCTTGGACCTGGGAGGAATTTTTATTCGGGGAATATGGAGTTTTCCCAGATCATTCGGAGTGTAAGAGCAGGTCATACTGATGCAGAGAGCCTCCCACTTACACTCCTTCTCTCTCGTTTTCATCCCACATTCCCAGACATACTCTCTCTCTCTCTCTCTCTCTCTCTCTCTCTCTCTCGGATTCAGTCCCATCGGTTCACCCACCCCATTTCCTTTCCTTCCCCTGTGCTCTCTCTGTCTGCACTCTTTCTTTCCACTCAGGTTTTCTATTTCTCTTATCCACAGAGAGTCTCTGTCAGCTTAGGTTGAAGGTTGAAACACCTTCTAAACTTTATGGCTGTTTATATTGGACTGCCTTCAAGTAAAGTTAGAGGTAGACACTCGGTGTAAGTGTGTGTGTGTGTGTGTGTGTGTGTGTGTGTGTGTGTGTGTGTGTGTGTGTGTGTGTGTGTGTGTGTGCACGTGCCTCAAGTGCATGCTTTTTTTCTTTTCTTGTGGGCACTCATTTTTTGTATGCGTTCTTGAGCTTATTTAATATATATGTGTAAATCTGTGCCTGTAATCCACCTTGATATACTGTGTGTGTGTGTGTGTGTGTGTGTGTGTGTGTGTGTGTGTGTGTGTGTGTGTGTGTGTGTGTGTGTGTGTGTGTGTGTGTGTGTGTGTGTGTGTGTGTGTGTGTGTGTGTTGTGAGGATATGGAATACCAGCACTGGGACATTAAACCTCTCACTTCCCTCACTTTCTTTTATAATGTTTCCATGAGGCAGAACGCCTTGGAAGCCACTGTGACCTTTCTATGTTGTGAAAGTATATTCTTCTGTGAATGGTCTTTTTTGGCATTATTGAAGTTTAAGCTGATTTAGGAGATCAAACAAGGAATTGCAAACAAAGACTACAGGAACAATCAACTGATGAGCTTTTGAGTATCACACACTCAATACCTGTAGCCTAAAAGAAGGGGTTTGCTTCCTCGCAATGAGCCAGCTTATCCTCACAACAGTGTAAAATAAATTTGATGCAGCAGAGAGCCAGAGTCATTGCAGTTCATTATGTGTTTGAATATATCAACATGTTCGAAGAAATGTTTTAAAGCACCCAGGACTCACATTTTTGCCAAGACATGACTTAATACACGATACACGTTTTAAAGCTTTGCCTGGAAGTAGCAGATTAAGTGATTTATTGGTGGAGCAGGATTGTTAAGGCCATTCAGATGACAAGGATTGGTGATAAATTATGAGTGTTGGAGGAGTTTCTGAACAATATTTCAATTTTTTTATATTAACCTTTGACTCCATTAAAATCTATTCTTGATACCGTCCTGTTTGAAGAAGAACTTATACTCTTTCTCAGCCATCTTTCAGACCCACAGTTAGACAGTGTATTTCAAATAAACCCTGACATCTACAGGACATTGCCTTTTCTGTCCGCAGTATACTTTCTTTAACATTAACATTTATTTCTTCTTCAATAAAATATAGATCAGAGCTGTCCAAAGAAAACTGTGTACCACCATATTTTCTCAACTCATGGATGAAGTGCTGTTTTGTGGGTTAGAAAATTCTCCAATTTGTGAGCCAGAAAAAAAACATCAAACATAAAAGGTTTTTCTTATAACATAAAAAGTAGATGTGTTGTAACACAATGTTTTCATTGGACAGTGATGACATGCCCTTTAGGCTTGCAATCTACTGAGCACAACTTAATGGAACATTTTTAAAGAATGTCTTTCAATAACATCACTGTTTTTGAAACAGAGTGAAGGAACAATTACAGTAATAATAATAATCGTGGTTCACGATGATGACAATAAATTGTGTTTTCTCCAGTGCTTTCTCGTGTGTTGGCAGAAAAACCACAGAGGGATGAAATCTTCTCAGTGGGGTGTACACTGTGAAACCTCCATTTAAGCAGATCATGTGTTTTATATATGTATGGTGATGCGTGATGTATTGCTGAAGACAGCAAAGTAGACTGTTATGGCTGCAAGCAAATTGTCATTTACGTCCACTGTGGCTTCCAGGATCACACACAGTCTTGACCCCCCCCCATGTGAAAATCAGGGAAACACAGTGACGGATGCAAACACATGCAAACTGACTTACTCCATCACACACTCCATCATGCACACTCTCACTCTGTTGACTTATTTCTTGCAACCCTCTCTATTCATGAGTGAGTCTTATTTCCACTACCGCCTGTATTACTCTTCTATAAAACCCGTTATTGGTCTCGATAGCTCTTATTTATCGCCGGTCGAATATGGATCCCTATAGAGCTCTCCGACAACTCGGTACGAGAATGGAAAGGGAGGAACGTGATCCAAACTTAACATTATAAATCTCATGTTCTTTATATCCCTACTTTGACATCAGCAAAATCTAAATTACAGTGTCTGCAGTTTCTTCCTGCATTTACTTCTTTCCACTTTTCTCGTCTTTCTTGTCCATATTTCTGGATAGATATCTACATAGATTCTTTCTTAAAGTGGCGGCAATGTAGAAAGCCAGGTATGTAGAGTAGAGAGTGTGTAAGATAGAAAGACAGGGGCAGGAGAAACAGAGCTAGAATGACAAGAGAAAAGAGCAAAAGTTGGAGGGAGGGAGACTAAAAGAGAGAAAAACAGCAGGGGAGTAAGCAGGAGGAGACAGGGAGGTTTGCTGGTGGCTTTCTGGTTTGGGTTCGTAACCTTCCTCTCTGTCAGCCTCGGTTAGATATTAAATGATGGCAGTGTGATAGGAATTACCTCTTAACCCTCCTATTAAAACCCTGTGGTCTGAGGTTTGGAGAGGGGAGGAGAAGGAAGGAGCTGGACTAGCATTAAGGGGAAAAAAGGCATGGGTCGGAGGCTTGAGGAGGGTGGAAGGTGAAGGCAAGAGGTATCAGGCGGGATAATAGTTTTTACCAAAGTCTTGTATCCTGGCGAGATGAAGGAAGCATATCATTCCAGGATAAAATCAAGGTTGGCGTTGTGTCTTATTGGAACATTTTGTAATTGAGCAGTACGTGCAGAGTGCTTGACGAAGACAAATGAACAATAGGTATTGGGGAGGTCATGCAAAGGAGGAAGATGGATTTATGAAAGGATGCTGGTGGATAGATGGATGGAGGCAGGGGAGTCCTAGTGACCCTACTAGGTGCTCAGCAGGGGGGAGAGAAAACAAAGATAGGGTTGGTGAGATAGATGGATTGTGGACTGGAGTCTGTGGGTTTCAGTGTGTGCAGTCTGTGGTCGTATCCCCCCGCAGTTTGCAGAGACTGTGGTCGCACAGCACATGCACCCAGACACACACTCAAGATGAAGCTCCGAGTTGAATATATTTACTAGAAAAGCAATGAATTTCTGGTTTGAAAAGCAACAATCATGATGGCTCAGATGGAAAATGTAAGCCATTTGGTTTGAGGGCTTTTTTGCACCAGTGCACATCACAGCGTATCGGTGAGGTTTACTTTGCTAAGTGACTCTATGGCTGCTAGTCTCCTGTCTAATAACACTGACCCAGACTGAGCCTCATCCTGTTATCTTCACTTTCTGCTCTGGTAGTTGCTGCGTGTGTGCGCATGTTTTATGTGTGCATGCCTGTGAAAGTGTGTGTGTATCTGTTGCGTGCAGAGCCCCCACTGTGCATCTGAACCAGCGCTGGTTTACTGCCAGTGATACTCATGAACCAGAATCATTCCCCCCCCATTAAAGCAGCTCATGTTACACTTGATTGGTTTGCATGAGAGGAGACGGGTGCGATGAAGAAGAAAAATGAGGGTAACATCAGACTCGAGAGATATTTCCCCTTCTCCTTCACCACTAGGAGGGCCTCAGATGCTCAATCTTACATAGGAGTAGAACTTTGACCATGTTTCAACATTTATGGACACTGAAGTAAAAGCATTGTCTGGCTGTCACGATGCAAGGCTTTTGTATATTTGATGCGATGTTATCTCAAACACAAATGCTGATATATGACATTCACTACACTTTGTGCTTCAACGACCTGCTGGAATCTACTGTTTAAAGCAAGACGGTGTGACTTTTATACAGACCAAAAACATATTCTTCCTGTTGAATTCATAAACAATTAAACACACTTTTAATTCTAATGACAGCAACTTAACATGACTTATGTAGTAATCAGTTGTCTTCTACTTGTGCTACTTTTACGCAATGTTTTAAAATTGTATACAGACTTTTTGTTTGTTTTTTGTTGCTTAATTGAAGGGAAAGCTCCTGTCTTGAGGGATGCGTGAGAAGTCGTTAATTCAATCAAAGTGTCCTTCAGAATGATGCTTAATCTCTACATCTTCATTCACTATGGTCCAACCTGGACAACAACATTAGGTAAAAATCCCTAAAAAGTTAAATTCTAGCTATAGGCAGGTAAAGAAAAGAGATAGCTGTGGGGAAGTGAATCTAGATTAAACAAAATGAGGTAAAATGGCCTCCAAGAGTGTTATTAATAAACAACAAATCAAAACCTGGATGGTTGCCAGTCCAAACCCCTGCACTGAGGAGGGGATGTAACGAGACCAGCTCACCATTAGGTTACCCTTGAGCAAGGCACTTAACCTCTAAATGCTTCAGTGGAGCTCCCAGATGTGAAAGTGTGGTCCCTCCCCATGTACTGTAAACATAACTTTACTAGTTAAATCAGGAGAAAGAAGCTGGACAGAGAGAGGAATGAGAGGCTTGAGGGGGGCTG